AGTACTATGTCTAGGGGATGGGATAAAAACAATTTGACCAAAATCAAATATCAAAAACCTTGTATCAGAGCACTCATTGTTGACTTTAAATTACTTTCAAATTAAAAGCATGTACCAAACATTTGCAAATTTTATTTCTGTGTGCAGAAATATTGCTTGTGTCCACCCCGGGGTCAATATTGCCTCTTTTCAAACCATGAGGTGTAAATAATAAGGTCCTGTAAGGACAGGTAAATGACATAATCAGATTTGCATTTGACATTCATCCACTACAAGGGAATGGTTAAGGTGCTTGTGGGAGAATCAGAGGGAAGAAAACAGAGTAATAGATGATCACCTGTCATCAGGACACACAGCAGTAAGCATAGCAAAGAGGAAAAAAGGACAGAAAAAGCAGCAGCAGAACATGGTTCTAATTTGCTGTGTAGAGAATGAAAATAAGAGTCTTATTCCCAGGCTATTTACATGATTTTGGCTACTTAGGTATTGGCATTGTAAAGTAAAATTTGACAAATGGGTTTTAAAAAAAACTATAATGCAGAAGTGACAGAGCTTTGAACACATTATACTTAAAATATCTGTGAAAATGTCCAAATGGCAATTAGATATATAATTTCATGGTTTAGGACAGTTATGAAAGCTGATAATAAAGACTTAGAAAATATCAGAATTTCATCGATACTTTTAGTAATCAGAGTTAATGAATCTATAACATCAAATTAAAAATTTAGGGAATCTGCAGAAACATTAATATATAAAGATAGAAGAAGAGAAATAGACTGTGAAGATCAGGAAAATTTTCTGAATTTATTTCACGAATAATGGAAAACTCAGTATTAAGAAGTCTACCAATACAATTGATCACTTTCATAGTTATGAAGCAAAATCCTTTGATTATCTATAAAAACATTAAAAACGTACTTCTAGAAATACATTCCACGTTTCTATTCCTGCGCGCGCGCGCACGCACAAACACACACACACAAAAACTCTTGGAAATCATCACTCCATTGCAACAACAAATAAAAAGCTGAAGACTGAAAAATCAATAACTCTTCTTGAACAGTAAGAAAGAAGAATACAGAGCACACTGCTGCCCCAAAGATTAGCAAGGCAGACAGGCAAATATATGGAGTCATGGCTTACAGGAGTGGATATTTACTAGTGGAAACCACCGTGGGAAACAGTGTAAGAGCGGGAAAACTTAAATTGTGACTGACAAATTGATGGAGGCTCATCAATAGAGTTGAAGACAACTCTGAGGGTTAAAACTCCAGGAGACCCAGTCATAGCAGGAAACCAAAGTACTGTGTAATTCACTGTCACAAGCATGAACAGGATCCTATAGTTAATAATAAAAAAGATCTTCCCCCTGCTTTCCCCTGTGAGAGAAAAAAGGCAAACGTTTAAATATGCCAGAATATTGTGTTGTTTATTCATTACCTACTCTAAGATATTTTGTTATAGAAGTNATGGACTAAGACATCTCCACCCTCTCCACAGCTTAAGACCACACTACTGAATGCATATTTACAGTAGTTTCTTTTCCCTGTTATATCATGTCTGGATATAAAGAAAACAATTACAAGGCACTTTTAAAGACGAAAAAAAAAAACATAATAAACAAGCAAAGAAACACAGCTGGAAGTGATAGAGGAATCATCAGAAAAAGCCATGATCAGGATGTTAAAACTGTCAAACAAGTTACTTTAAAAGAAAACTCTGATGAATAAGCATAGGGATCAAATGGATAAAGTAGAGAGTACCCAATAGAAGATGGGCAATGAAAGTACACATAAGAGTTCTAAGAACGTACCAAAACAAGCAAACAAACATAAAAACAGTAGCACAGATCAAAAACACTGTAACTGAAATAAGGAATGTTTTTAATTGGCTTATTAACAGACTGAACAAGGCTGAGAAAAGAATCTCTGGGCTTGAACATACATCAATAGAAACTTCAAAATCTGAAAAGCAAAGAGAACTAAGACAGAAAAGAAAAGAACATAATATCCAAAGACTGGGGGAAAAATACAAAATTGTCCCATAGAATAATGAGAATACCCCCCCTCCCAAAAAATATAGAAAGAGAGACAGAAAGAAACAGAATGTATATTTGGAA